CATCCCATTTTCGTAAAAATTCACGAGGTTGTCTGCTTTGAACGGCTATCAAACACCAACTGAACGACATAGCTTGCTCAAAATTAAAAAGTTGACAACTGGTAGATTACAGCTGACGGCAGCACTGTCGCATTTGGAGTAACAGCGCGACTTATCGAACTGCCCTCGTAAGTCAAAGAGCTAATAACTCTTTATGTTATTTTTTCAGCTTCAATGGAGACTGTTTAGCTGTTATCTACTGTGATTAATTTGATATGATTTAATAATATGTTTAAAGTGATTTTATACTAACTTACCACTAAAAATCAAAACAAAGTGTGCAGAAAAAGAAAAAAATTTATTTATCAAGATTAGTGGAAAGGATATACCCTGAAAAACACACCAAAAGTACATTGCTTTGAAATACGTTTACAGAAAATTGTTGACTGTGGCGTGATTCGTTTAGTAGTGATTTGGTTCCACCTACTGTTCACGGATGAATGTTCTGATTGTTTGTCATTTTCGAGTATGTCAACATCACGTAAGTTCAATAATAGCTGATATTGAACATTTTCATGTGTCAATTGTCAAAACAAACAGTTGCAAACAGAACTTTTGCTATTTGCTGTTTACGAATACAAACAACATATACACGCCTGCCTGCCTGTTTACCTGCTTGCCTGTTTGTCTGTCTGCATGCCTGTCCCTTTTGAGGATGCAACAGAAATAATACGCAAAAGAAGCCGTTACTATGCAATAAACAATTCGGCGCGCCTTAAGATATGCAACAAACGTACGAGTGCTTTTGTATTACAGCAAATCACACACACACGAGCGAATTGGACGATGAATTGTGGTCTACGAACTGTGGTCTGAAGGCTGAGTGCCGTGGACAACAGAGACCAAGCACTGTAATATATAATCGCATTGCAATTAAAATTGTCATCAACGCGGCCAAATAAGTACCATTGACCCCCTTTTTATATGCATCTCATCAATATGGACCACACATTCTTGCGTATGCAAGTGGGTGTGGTTGAGTTCCGAGTACTTGTGTTTTATAAAAATATATGAGAAGTGCACATAATTGCAAGCTACTGTAAAAACACACACATACTAACATACTAATATATTCACATACATATACAAACTCGTGTATGCACGTACTGACATTGTCAATTATAATATTCAGGACGAAAAAATGTCTCCTCAACTCGTACAGATTACAGAATATCTACATAAATACAAAATGCAAAACAAAAAAGGATTGAAATAAAAAAAAAAGAAATAAAGGAAACATTATCCACTTTAATTAATGATAACATCAAATAATATAAGAATTAAAAGTACATTTACAACAGCGAGTAATTTTGTCAAGGTTTTGGCCTTCCCCAGAACAATCAATCAGGAAGAAATACATCGCTCCTTTTCAGTAGTCAAGCACTTGCCTATTACAGAGTTAAATCCTCCAAACATACGCAGTCAAACTTAAAGCCATGTTATGACTTTACCATAAATTTGAAATCTGATAATGTGATGTTGGGAGCAAGAGAGACAATTCGATTAATATTTCGTTTCGGTGACGGTTGACTTTGCTGAGAGCCATGCTATACAAAGAGTTATGGTCACATCAAATGGCTGTTATTTTGAATATAAATCAAAACATTGAGAATAAAAAAGAGAATTTTCAATGCTTTTTGTGATTCATCATATTGGCCAAAACAGTGTTGGATCAATACAATTCTTAAACTTGGCATTATGTCAGCTTTCTGTGATATGGATATCGGCAAAGGATTTTGATGAAACGTCTATCTATCTTAGTATGGGCACGTTTTTGAGATATTGGGCATTTATTTCAAAGTGTAGGGGCTAGTAAATCGGAATTTTACCATAAGCTGTTTTTTTATGATGATAGAGAAAGGTTACCTTCTGCTTAAAAAGTATCCGGATTTTATTGTTTGTTAACTTCTCCTTAAGTAATAGAAATTTTTCAAAAAATTTTTTTTGATATGTTGATACACCCTTTCTTGACATATGCTACAAATTTGAGCGCCATCTTTCATTTAGTTTGTTTACAGCAGCTGTTAATGTGAGACTACCTCAATACCTCAAGTGCATTTAGCGATTTTTACTATGGAAAATTCTTGTTGTACGCGATTTTTTGACCAAACACGGAACCACTGTCATCGCTCAGGCACCATATTCGCCAGATCTGTTTCCGTACGACTTTTTTCTGTTTCCAAAACTCAAATTGTCCCTTCGTGGTGAGGGTTTTGAGACGATTGAATCGGTAAAAGCGAATTCGCTGAAGGAACTAAAAGCCATGGGCTACTTTGCAAGATTCGGTTCAGCTAAACAATCTATGGACCCAAGCTTTATTGAAATATTTAAAAAATTTGTTAAGACATAACTCAGTTCATCTATAACAAGAAATATGTCGAAAAACGTTGTTAATAGAATGAAATGCTTAATTAAGTACGAGATTAAAGAGATGGTTTGTCCATTTTATTTCAAAGTAGCATCACTTCTAAGTTCAACAGAGTTAAGTTTCTGATAGGATATCAGACCTCTGCTACAATTTCAACAAGTGAAATTTGCCTTAAGTAAAAGAGGGTCGAGCACTAGGCTTGGTGAAGATTTCCAACACGGAATATTATGGCTTTCATAAAACAAGGTAAATGCTTGCTCTTTGGTTGGGGTCATTTATATTATATATATTAGTTGGCCATTACAGACGTGTGTCGTCCTTGGCCACGTCGAGTAGCCTCCGCCAGTCAGCCCGATTAGTTGCCTTCTGACGCCAGTTGGTAGTACCGAGCGCCCCCAAATCGTTGGTCACCTGGTCCTTCCACCGAAGATGCGGACGTCCTCTACAGCGTTTTCCACCTGCGGGTACCGAATCAAATACCTTTCTAGCCGGAGCACTTGGTTGGGGTCATTTATTACCACAAAAGATCCTCTATGGTCACAATATCATTAAATTTGAAATGTTTGCTATCAGTAAGTCAATGTCAACCAGTGCACAATATAAACTGTCTGCGTTTCAGAGTAGTGTGTAATACAAGGACATAAAATAACTGATGAACTAGTTAGACGCGGATGTGAAACATTGTTAGCAGAGGCCTAAATGGTGATCTCATTAAGAGCTGCTCAAAATCATATCTGTAACTTTTTAAGTTCAAGAGAACATAAATTAGAGCTACGATGAGCTGGAAAAAACTTAACATAAAACGGCCAAACTATAATGTATCGAAAATGAAAATTTAATGACTAAAGTGATGTTGAGCGGCCACTAGCCAGCTGGCAAGCAATTAAGTGTCCGTTTTAGCCAGAGATGCACAGAGCAGGGAGAAAAGAGGAATAGAAAACATATAAGGATATTTTATTATGAAATTTTTTTATCTAATGATTAAAATTTGTTCAATATTTGTAAGACACTGAAATTTATTCCTAAAATTGTATTCTTATATAGTAACTTAACATTTAATCTTATCGCTAAATGCAAAATATTGGCTTATCGCTAAATAAAGATAAAGAACTATTCTATCTCAAAATAAACATATATTTGTGTTATCAAATTGAAACGAAGGAAATTATTGTTTCGCTAAATAAATATATCATTTGAGCATGCGTATTAACAAAAAAATTGCATTTATTATCTTCTGGTGTTTTGGTGGTCACTTCTGGGGAACTGGGGTATCATGGAAACCGTTTTTTATAAGATAGCTAAATAGTAAATTTGAGCACCTAATGTCAATGAATGTAAGTTGGACAAAACTCTATGCTATGATTTGCAGATATTTCTGGGTAGCCATTTTAATCTGACATACTTACAACTGTTCTAACTTTTTATGAAGGACTTTGAAAATAATGTTATAACTGTTATAAATAATAATGAAAGTTGAAAAACATACTGATGCACTTTATTATATTTAGGTAGATCTTTTAAAGAAACTTAGCAAATAGAGATAATTTTTAACTATAAAGTAAGCATTGGCAGTCCTTTTAGACCTTGAAGGAATGTTTAAAGTAAACTGAAGCTGAACACAACTTCATATATTTTAAGAAGGTTTTAACTGAGATCATTTAACAGATTTGGCAGCACTGTTCGAGTCTCATAATCACTACTTGCATGTGTTGCTATTCCAAGTCGTCTGTTTTATATTGGCGGGTGTTCTTTTGCAATTCGCAATTTGTTCTTTTGCATAAATACAGTGAATAACAGAATACTTTCAGTGCTGCTGTAAGAAATGATTTTTTGAAATAAGCTACAGTAATTCTTAAAATGATGGTCTAAGAAAAGCCGTGAAGAGTGCATCATTAATAAAATTTAATTCTGTTAACTTCTAGTAGATGTGCATCACAAATAGAAACGCAAAAACATGGATCCTATTAGAATTTTTTGCTTATTTTTCAGTATGG